CCCTCTAACCCCCCACAGCCCCCCCCCCCCAAAACCCCAACCGCCCCCAAAACCCCAAAAATCCGCTACAATTGCCCCAAAATTCCCTAGAACCACCCAAAAATCCCACATAAACCCCCAAATGCCACCCCAAAAAATCCTAAAACACTCCAAAGACCCCCCAGATCCCCTCTAACTCCCCAAACACCCTCTCAAAAAATCCTAAAACCCCTAAAAATCTCCCAGAACCCCCAAAAAATCGTAAAATCCCCCAAAATTCCGCTACAGCCCCCCCCGCCCCCAACTCCCGTTGCCACGGCAACAGCGCCTCCCTTGGCCCCGCCCCTTCCCGTTGGCCACGCCCATTTCGCGTTGACCCCGCCCCCTTTCCGGCTCCCTTTGTGGCAGGAAGCCGCTGCCGCCCGTGGCTCCCTTTGTGGCAGCCGCCATGGCGGCCGAGCGGGCTCCGCCGGCCCGGGCCCAACCTCCGCCCCCCGGCCCCGCTCCCGGCCCCGCTCCGGGCCCCGCTCCGGCCCAGGCGCAGGTGGCGTTCCTGCAGGGCGAGCGCCAGGGCCAGGAGAGCTCAGGGACCTGAGTGTCCCCAGTGTCCCCAGGGACCCTGAGTGTCCCTGTCACCCCTGGGTGTCCCTGTCACCCCTGGGTGTCCCCAGTGTCCCCAATGTCCCTTTTTGTCGCCCAGGCGCAGGTGGCGTTCCTGCAGGGCGAGCGCCAGGGCCAGGAGAGCCTCAAGCTGGACCTGGTGCGCCGCATCCGGATGTTGGAGTTCGCCCTCAAGCAGGAGAGGTGGGGGAAAAACCCCGAAAAAACACCCAAAATTTAAAAAAAACTCCTAAAAATGACACGAAAAATCTTAAAAAACACCCAGAAATGCTAAAAATCCCCAAAAAAATCTTAAAAAACACCCAGAAACCCTAGAAACTCCTAAAGTCACCCAGAAATCCTAAAAACCACCCACAAAATCCTAAAAAAAAGTCAAAAAATCCTAAAAAAATCTTAAAAACCATCCAGAAATCCTAAAAAACACCCAGAAATCCTAAAAAAATCCTCAAAAACACCCAGAAAGCCTAAAAAACTCCTAAAATAACTCAAAAATCCAAAAAAACACACAGAAATCCTAAAAATCACCCCAAAAATCCTAAAAAACACTCAGAAATAAAGAAAACTCCTAATGTCACCCAGAAATCCTAAAAACCACCCACTAAATCCTAAAACAAGTCAAAAAATCCTAAAAAAATCTTAAAAATCATCCAGAAATCCTAAAAACCACCCACTAAATCCTAAAACAAGTCAAAAAATCCTAAAAAAATCTTAAAAATCATCCAGAAATCCTAAAAACCACCTAGAAATCTTTAAAAGAACCATAAAAGTCTCTCAGAAATCCTAAAAGAACCACTCAGAAATCCTAACAAGCACCCAGAAATCCTAAAAATCGCCCCAGAATCCTAAAGAAACCCCCAAAATCCTAAAAAGCTCTAAAAACCACCTCAAAACCATAAAAACCACCCCAAAACCCCAAAAAACCCTACAAATCCTAAAGAAATCATAAAAACCATCCAAAATCCTAAAAAAAACCCCTAAAAGTTCTAAAGAAATCCTAAAAATCCTGAAAAAGACATCAAAAATTCTAAAAACTGCTTAAAAATTCTAAAAATATGCAAGAATCCTAAAGAAACCCCAAAAATCATAAAACACCATCCCAAGGTTTGCCTCCAAAACCCCAAAATTCCCCAAAATCTTAAAAATCTCACCCCAAAGCCCATAAAAATCACCCCAAAATCACCCCAAAAAAATCCCTAAAAACCCCAAACTCTCCCCCAAAGACCTAAAATCCAAAAAAAACCCCAAAATCACTCAAAAACCCCAAAATCACCCCCAAAACGAATCCTAAAGAAACCCCAAAAATCATAAAACACCATCCCAAGGTTTGCCTCCAAAACCCCAAAATTCCCCAAAATCTTAAAAATCTCGCCCCAAAACCCATAAAAATCACCCCAAAATCACCCCCAAAAAATCCCTAAAAACCCCAAACTCTCCCCCAAAGATCTAAAATCCAAAAAAAAAAACCCCAAAAAATCACTCAAAAACCCCAAAAATCATCAAAAACCCCAAAATCACCCCCAAAACCTTAAAAATCCCACCCCAAACTCCTCAAATATCACCCCAAAAAAACCCCAAAATCACCCCCAAAACCCCAGAACCTTAAAAATCCCACCCCAAACTCCTCAAATATCACCCCAAAAAACCCCCAAACCCTTCTGCCAGATCCCAAATCCCC